ATTTGAGATGATTTACTTTGAGCTTAGAGGCACTACTATGCAAAAATATTTAAACTTCCTTCGTTCGTCTACCTGATATCAAGCACAACATAATTTTGAAGACAACTACTCACAAAAGAGCTCAAAACAGTTGGTTATGAACGCTGTTTGTCTCAATTTATTTGATTTGAAACTCAAAACTTCTTTATATTGGATTTCACCAGTAAAATAATGAAATTTGATATGAATTTTAAAAAAAAAAATCGAAAGTGGGTTTCTACCGTAAATCCTGCCAAAAAGGATATTAACTAGGCCTAATGGCCCCGAAAATACCCCAAAAGGTCTGGGAGGGTAATATTCTAGGCGAATACGACACTAGAAAGCTTTCTAAAGAAAGTAATTTCATGGCTGGTGAGGAGTACTGTAAAGCCCGCCGGAATTCGCCTTGTTATTGTGAAATACAGCCGAAATTGGCCTTGATAACATTTGTTGCAACGCGATGGATCGATTCCCGCTCATTCGAACCCTGGAAGTAAGTCTATTTTTTTGAGTTTTACAGTTTTTAGAACCTACAACGTCGTATGAAGAAGATCGTACACACAAAAATTGAGGCCATTTTTTGCCGTATTTTACACGAAATTCAAAAAAGTTCGAGCAAAAACCAATAGGCATTTCGAAAATTTTAAAAAACCAAGTTTATTCAACCTTTCGATTTATTTTTAGAAAGCTTTTTGGAAAAAAAGAAAATTCTTGAGCTTTTTTACACCCCCTCAGGCAATAAAGTCAGATTTAACAATATTTACTAGCTGGAATAAATCCTGACCCTAATTTTAATATAAATTAGAGTCCAAAACGTAAAATTTTTTCCTGAATTTCGCCCTACACCAAATCATGAACAATATCCCAGTCCCAAATCTTCGAACATCTTACCGAAGCCTCCAAAACAACATCAAGAAGGTCCTTGTCATCAATGAGGTGTCAAATCGGATATTATCCATGAAGATCAACTTCGACTGGACAATTTATACCGGCGGAATCAGCTCCGATTCATCCAAACAGATTCTCATCACTTCAGTGGCTCAGAAACAAGTCGAAGATGGATCAGTTCAGACAATTTTGGCGGTTCCAGCATTGCATCTACGACGGCCCCGCCTAAAATAGTACCTTCTTATTATAAATGTCGTTTTCATACTGTATTGGTCATAAATTATTATTATACATAGCATTTTGGAATATTCTTGGAGCCAAAAATCCCCAAACAAACAATAAACTATTCACTTTCATGGCCAAACATGGTCTTACATTTGTGTTTTAATCCAATTGCCATCCACTTCCATCTCTAATATGCTCCTCGGACCAGGTAAAGATTTTTTAAACTTCTTCCATCCGTTTCAGTTGTTCTTAATTCCAATATCAACATTTCGATGGGTCATGTCCTCCCATTCACGGTCCCGTTGGAGCCCTGAAACATCAACCATTACAAATGGATATCCATATCTTTTTAAAACTGTAATTGTATTGATTATTTGCATAAATACTTACATTACTTTTTATTCTCCATGTCAACTTTTCTGACTTATAACCGGGGTTTCGTGTAAAGCACCACATGACGACACGACGAAGCACCTGGACCTTCTCATTTGGACCAATTCAAGTAATGGGCTGACTGTTGAAGATCGACATCTCCAGGACCATTTCTCCGATGATTATTAACGGTTAGAGTCGCATTAGACAAATTCCAAGGGGTGGGGAGCTCGTCTCGTCCATGGATGGACGTTATTGAAGTTTGTTCTTGGCCTTTGTCCTCGTTCTTCTTGTCCGAATCTTGTTGAATGACTTCTCGAGGTGTTCTGTGCTGTTCTCCAGGTGGACGTGATTTCTCGTCGTTATGGCTCGTCGAATTTACGGTTTCGTGCCGCGTGGACTTTTTCAGAGACTTTACACATCGGCTAAAACACCGTGTTCATCATCTTCGCTCAGTCTGAACATCAAAAAGACCCAGCAAACCGACTTACCGACTTGACCAACATCAAAATTCACCATCATGATATTGGACTCTACTCTTTGGAGTTAACACCTTCACAAAACTTCAAAGTGTTCGCAAAAAAAGGCGAAGGATCATCGATCACCCAAACATTCCATTCCATCAACAATTCACCATCAAATTTGTATTTACATCAGGACTCCGATTGGAGTAACGAGCCTCAGCAATGATTTCCTTGGCCTGAAGATTATTCATGACATCAACACCGTCTTGGACATTATCGAACAATCAATGGATATCTGGAATGAGGCATTAAAAAGACGAATAGAAGGAGAAACCCCGAAATTACATCAATTTTTAGACGTTTTCGTCCATCTGACCAAGTCGTACAAAGGTTGTCCATCCGCATCTAATCTTCTTCCATCGAGGAGCAACCATCATTTTGCTTCGGATCACCGCCATTAATTTCGCCTTATCTCAATTTCTGGGGTCCTTTTGAAGGTTCTCCTTGTTCCACGTTGTCGTTTGATCCGATCTTCGGGTCATTCAGTGTTCTGCAGCTTTCGAGCTGCTTTGCTGTCGATTTCCTGATCACCACTTTAAAATACGCCTTCCGGTCGCCATCAACATAAAAAATCAGCTTGTTTTTCTTGTGGTTAATACGGTTTTCGTCGCTGCACTTCAATCTGGATGGAATTTCGACATCATTGGACTGTTTTATGGACAAATGGACAATTCTTCACAGGACTGTGAATTATGGAATTTTCGGCCACCGTGGCCTTCAGAATCAAAATTATGGATCTCCAGCATCAGGATCTGCACCTAAAAGCAAAAAATTAAATAGGGAAAATAGACAGAATAGGCTATGTTAGGGCCCTTAGCGATGGAGTTAGCAGTTTTAACCATTTTTTTGAACTTCCGTCTAATTTTGGTGATTTCAGTGTCTCCAAACAACGCCGGCCAGGCCTCCGGGCCACGCTCGAGCCCTCCATCCGAGCGCCAAGCCCATTCCGCTCTGGCTGAAGTCTTGCCGGCGGTAATGGCCCCTCCTCTGGTTGGCCAGCATCCAACCGGCGTCCCAGAGGAGGGTAAAGAGGGGCCAACCCCAACCACTGGCCCCTCGGGCTTCGGCCCAGAACCGGCCCCAACCGTTCAGGCCGAGCATCTGCCGGCGGTTGAGGGCTCGGAAGGATCGTTGGACCTGGACTTCTCGAGCTTCTCGAACTGCAGCTCCAGTACGAGTGAGGAGCACTCCACACTGCATGATGTCCCCTCGATCAAATCACTTGAAGTCTTCGATGAGGGAGCAGCCTGCGAGGAGACGTTAGCGGACCAAAACGACCGCCTCCGATTTCAAAGAGACTTCTGGAAGACCCAATGCCGCACACTTTGGGAACGACAAGAGACGTTCGAGAAGAAGGTCAAGTTCTACCAAGAAGCCCTGGTAGAGGCGGAAGTTGAGGCCAAGAAGGCCAAAGAAGCAGCCTCCGTCGCCACAAAAAAGGCCGAAGAAGAAAGGGCACTGAAGGAAGCGGCAGAAAAGGAAGTCGCCGAACTGCAAGCCCTCCATCGGCAACACCTTCGGACAGCCGTCGCCGATGACCGGCCGCCAAGGGCCGAAAGATCGAGGTCCAGAAGTCCGCTGATGACGACAGCGTGGTCAATAACGCCGACAACAGCAGAGATCCTAAGGATCGACGTCACCCAGCCCCCAGCGACCCAACACCCGCCGCCACCCGCAGATCAGGGATATGAGGTCCAAGAACAAAATCACGAGGCTCCTGGGCCTCTACGAAGGATGCCAAAGTGCAAACGGCGATGTTGCTACCAGCCCTCAGCCGATCCTCAACGGCCTCGGCCCCCCCGAAGGTCGAGGGAACTTCAAGGACTTGGCCCAGTGCTTCAAGAAGAGGACAATGGCCCAGAAGAACACCAACGTCCACGAAGAGAACGAAGGCCTCCTTCACGGCTCATCGTGGACATGGCGAGCCGATCGTATCGGACTTCACAGGAGCCCAGGTTGCCTCGTAAGTCAATTTTTTCGATATCTTTACCATTTTTACCCAAAAGCCCTTCAAAAATTATCAATTTCGCATTTTTTCGAACGCTATATTTACTATCGCAATTTTAATCAATAACATCAAGATTTTTTCAGATCGAAGGGTAAATCCATACTAAGTGGCCAAAAATTCAACATGGCGCAGTCATTCATACCTAATAACGTAAGGTTTTCGCAGCGTCCATCCAATAATCCTAATTTTTTAGCAATTTGTCCAATTCAACCTCGACAAGCAACCACGTGGGTTGACTAAATGCACTCAAACCTTAGTTCGACCGGCTGGAACGAGAAAAAAGTAAGTTTTTTTGCAAAACTATTTTTGCGAGCTGCGCCCAATAAAAGAACAATTGCTTTTTGTTATACGCTGTTGGATTTTGGGGGCATATTGTAGAAGAAAATGGTAGCATTCGCGGTAAAATGACTCGTCAAACCGCTAAAAACCTAGCTTTTTGCCGGCGGCTTCATAGTTTTATTGCTTACCTTGTTTTAGACAGAAAAAATATAATTTGATCGATCCATTTTTTCAGATGCCCAACTCATGGCCGAACCGGAGCACCCGGCCCCCCACTTCATCCGGGGGGCCCTCTGGAATACTTGCGGGTGCTCGGTGAGATCAAATAATGTAAGATTTTGCTTCTTTGAAGTTTTTGATCTTGAACTAGACTAAAGTAATATATTATAATTTCATTATATTTTCAGGTGAAGACCGGTACAAAGGGAAGAGAGGCGCCCTGGCCCCCTGAATGAGCCCGGGGGCCTTTGGAAGGAAATAAGGGTGCCATCTTCCCCGATTTGGTCAATTGGGACTGAAATTAGGTAAGCTTTCGTGTTGTATTTATATTTTTCATCTTATTATTTGCAGATCTCGCTCAGGCAAGATTGAACTGAGAAGGAGAGAGCACCCTAGCCCCCTGAATGAGCCCGGGGGGCTTCTGGATCATAAAAGGGTGCTCTCACCCGTTTCCATCAAAGTGGAAGATGTTCCACTTTGATGGATGGTCGAAACCGGAGCACCCCGGCCCCCCACCTCATCCGGGGGGCCTTCTGGAAAACAATGGGTGCTCGGCGAGACCAAACGAGGTAAGATTTTGTTGTTTTTTGAACTGTTTGACCTTGAGTTAGTAATATAGTAAAGTAATATAGTAAATACAGTCTACTACCTTCAGACGAAGGCCGGTCCAGACCAGCGTGGATCCGGCACCCTCGCCCCCTGAATCAGCCCGGGGGGCTTCTGGAATCAAAAAAGGGTGCCTTGGTCCACTTGTCATGGTCGATTTTGTGGATTTTGGACTAAAATGAGGTAAGTTATCATGCTGAATTTATAATTTTGCCTTTAATTCTTTTCAGAATTCCCTAAAAAGGAACACTGAGGGAACGGTGGAGCACCCTAGCCTTGAATCAACCCCAGAGATCCTCTCAAGGCCCGCCACCGAAGGGAATGAAAGAAAAAAATGTAAAAAAGTAAAAAAAAATTAAAAGGGCCAAAAAAAGCCAAAAAAAAAAACAAAAGCCAAAAAAACGAAAGGCCAAAAAAAGAAAAGGAAAGAAAAAGAGCCAAAAAATTTCAAAGGCCAAAAAAGAAAAGGCAAAAAAAGAGCCAAAAAATAATAATAAAGGCCAAAAAAAGATAAAAAAAAAAGAGCCAAAAAAATAATAACAAAGGCCAAAAAATAAAAAAATACATTTTTTGAAAAAAAGAGAAAAGCCAAACAAAGGCAAAAAAGTAAAAAAATTAAAAAAAAAGAAAAATAAAAAAAGAAATTGTAACTGAAATTCAAGTAAAAATTGTTTAATACCCGGCGAAGTCAGCGAACACAATCAATTGTTCCCAGCGGATGTCTACGATGAGATTATTGCCCCGGCCTGCGTCTACGCCCGAACACTCAATTTCTTCAGCTGTTCAAAGCCCTCGGAACTCATCCTAAGGTAAATTTTGCCATGGATAACATAAAATTTCTGACAGGAAAGTACTTCTATGGCGTATGGAGTTACAGGTCGAGTCATATGTCAAAAAAATCGCAAAATCTTTCTGATTCAGATGTAAAAGTAAGCTGCCTAATTTTGATTTGTAAGGGTGAAGAAATCCTCAGACGCTTTCACGCAACACCACGCAAATGCCTTTTTTGACAAGGTTTTTACCAAATCAAAAGCTTTGTTTTGAGCTAAACTGAACCTTGGCATCTTGACAAGCCTTAAAATATCAGATTTGATTAATACTACACCTTAATTAGTAGTTCCAATATAAAAAAAGGGCATTTGTGTGGTGCTGCGAGAAAAGTTCTGAGGATTTTTTCACCCTACAGTCCAAAATCAGGCAGCTAACTTTTACATATTCTGAATCAGAAAAATTTTACGATTTTTTTGATATATGACTCGACCTGTAACTCCATACCCCGTAGAAGTACTTTCCTCGTCAGAAATTTCAAAACTTTTCTCCTAATTACGGAGAATTTTCTTGGATGGGGAAAGAGTTGACTCGTCTTGGTCAAGTCTTCCTCTCCAGACGAAAAATGCAATGTTGCATAGCTTTGGTTTGTTGCAGGAGGAGCGGGCTGTATAACAGCATGTTGGGAGCTTTTCTGAATCAGTTTTGTTGTTTTCGGTTAAAATTATTGATCTTATGTCATGTGTAATATAATTTATCTTTGATCCTTTCAGAATATTACCCAATCTTCGCCGTGGAGACTTGTGAGTATCTTGAAAACCTCCAGATTGATCTTCATCACTTCCTCGAAGAGTTCGTTGATTTTGCATGTTACAACAAGGTGATTTGAAGGGAAAAATGGAAGCAGTAAGTTCCATCAGCCAATGTTTTACTTTTTTGCACACGGGGTTTACAGGGGAAGTACTCCAAGTGCGACGCTCAGATTTTCTTTAAATTTTGCACACACGTCGGGTATGGACCAAGTATCAATTCCTGAAAGTTTTAGCTCGCGCTTTGTGGGCGCCGCCGAGATATCGAAAGATTTTTGCCGCCGAGAGAGCACGCTAAACGTGGAGAGCGGTCAAAGAGGAAAGCGCTTTTTGGCCATAACTTTGGCAGTTTCGTGCGGAAAAATTTGATTTTCTGTAGAAACATTATCCTTTACAGTTGAAATAGGCATGAAACTTTTCGTGCCGAAATTCGGCAAAAAGTCCTAAATTTTCGCCGACTTTCGATCTAAAAATCTCGGTTGTTTGTGCTAAGCGCGAGCTAGGATTGTCGCTAATTATTCTAAATTTGTGCTAAGTTTCATCAAAATCTGAGCGTCGCACTTGGAGTACTTCCCCTGTTAGTTTCGGGATGTTAGAGTAGCTGAGCCGGCTTTCGAATAATTATCCGGGACAGGTTTCATCGTTTATAATAAGTTTTTACCGTTTTGTTTGATCTTTACGCCTTTTAATTGCCAAAAATACTATGTCCACTATAGATGCGCCATTTTTGATACACATTTCATACACAGTTACACAAACATATGTAATACATGTAATTCATGACTATAGGGCTCTACTTTTGGGCAGAGAATTTTATGGAGCTATAGACAGTAAACGCTTTTGGACACGCTGACCCCTGCTGAGGGGTTTAGAGATATTTTTATAGGGCTGATGTTTTTACGTTGTTTTAGTAATTTTTTATAACTTTTCAGAGAACCTCTCTCTACAAGGCCCGCCACCGAAGGAATAAAAGAAAAAATGTAAAGAAAATAAAAGAAAAAGAAAAAAAGAGCCAAAAAAAACAAAGGCCAAAAAAAATAAAAGTTAAAAAAAATACTAGTCGCGACATAAACTCCTGAGACGTTTGCACCGTGCGTTTTTGTTTTCCTTTCGCACTCGTCGCGGCAATTCCCCGTTTTTGCACTAGCGACATGCACTTTCGCGCGACACCCGCGACAAAATGTGTCAGGACTTTATGGCGCGCCTAGTAAAAGTGAAAAAAATTAAAGGCCAAAAAAAAGAAAAGGCAAAAAAAAGAGCCAAAAAAAACTAAAAGAGCCAAGGAAAACAAAGGCCAAAAAAAAATATATTTGTATCTGGAATTCAGCGAACCCAATGAGTTGTTCCGAGCGGATGTCTACGACGAGATTATTGCCCCGGCCTGCCTCTACGCCCGAAAACACAAGTCTTTAGCTGGCCAAAGCCCTAGGAACTCATCCTAAGGTAAATTTTGCCATGGATAGTATAAAATTTTTGAAAATTTTTAAAACTTTTCTCGTAATTACACTTATAGTCATTCCACATATTTTTTGAAAGACTTACTGATCGCTTTATTTCAGACCCAAGGATGACAGATGACACCAATCCATCAGTAGTTTGTCTGGTCTACAGTGGTGTTACAGTTTTTGCCCATCGCGGAGTCCTCCATTGATCTTCGCCCACGCCAATGAATTGGTCTATGGAAGCAGTAAGTTGTGGAGATTGAGGACGGAAAGGTCCGCTAAAAAAAGGAAAGAGGAGGGCGGGGAGAGGGGGGAGGTTTTCGATGACGCTGATTTCGAAAATCGTATCCATTTTTTCTGAATTTTACAATTTTGCTTAAGCCGTAGTGTCTAATGTTTGATTGTGAAGACAAAAAATAGCGTCGGGAGTTTTCTCACAAGATCATACTAGTTTGACCAAGTTTTTACAAATTAAAACATTTATTTTGAAGAATTGAAGAAGACATAGGCAAAAATTCAGAAGAAATGGATACGATTTTCGAAATCAGCACTATCGAAAACCTCCTCTTTCTTTTTTTAGCGGACATTTCCGCCCTTCGTGAGTTGTGGCTGATGTTTATTGTATTACTTTCAGAGATCTTCAAGCCCCAAGCTATCGGAACAGAAACTAAAAAAATGTTAAGAAAGAGAAAAAAAAAGAAAAAAATTGGTAAGAAAAAATAAAAGAAAAAAGGAAGAAAAAAAAAAAGAAAAAAGGAAGGAAAAAAGAAGCAAAAAAAGAAAAATATAAAAGAAGAAGCCTCATCGCTTCCACTCCCACCACTTCCATTACTCGCCTTCTTCTACCACTCCCACCACCCTCCTTTCCCTTTCCTTTCCCCTCCCACTCCCTCCCCTTCACCCAATCATCAAAGCCTGCTTTGGTGATTAAAGTAAGTTGTTTTTTCCCCAATTTTAGGCCTTTATTTCTTGTTATAAGTCCAGATACTGCTCGTTCTACTTTTAATCTTATTTATTTTCATGGAAATCATCGAGAATCCGTTCCTTGGAGCCCTGGAGAAGTTGGAGAAATCAATGGTCCCTGGAGGTCCCCACCGCGGAAAGATCAGAAAGGTATGTCAATTGGGAGTGATAAATTAGGGAATCGAGATCTAGAAGGGATACTGCGAGCATTTTAGGTGAATAAGAGTTTAGTTTTGTAAAAAAATCCCGTCATTACGATGTATTTTTTGAAAGGTTACGGTAGAGATAAGGGGTTTCTAAACTCTGTTTTTTACTGTGGTGTGAACGGGTTACATCCAGGTTTAGAAGCTTTTAAGATACAGCTAGGTGCTATTTTTGTTTTTGATTATTAGATACATATGAAGTTCTCGTCATGACGGGCAACTTAGGAGGTTACATTTCTTGTGATTTTTCGGAAGAATTTTAGAATCTTTTCGTTTTTTTCGGGAGGTTTGAGGGAATTAAAAGATGTGAGGTGCCGTAAAAAGCAGTTTATACGAAGTAATGACTAGTTTTAGTCAATAATAATGTGGTCATAACAGTATTGGGATATTTCGATATTGCTGATGAGATGATTAACTTTCCTGTTTAATTTTTCGCTTTTAAATACATTTTTCTTTCAGAAGGACGTTCAGAATTGCCTTATGGTTGAAGAGGAAGCTAGAGTGAGAATGAAGAACAAGTTGCTTGCCGAGCCCTGCAAACGGTCGATTCCTTGAAGATGCACAATTGTTTGGAGGTAGGAGAAACTTTGTTAACAAAAGGGGGGTTTGGTTGATCTAGGGCTCGAAATCCTTTGAATTTGGATTCGAATGATGTAGCGCGCTACATTCGTCGTTGTGATGGATTTTGTTGTAGTATCCGACGCGTAGGAGCAGTCATTTCTTTGTGAAGTTTTAATCTCTGTAGTGTATACAGGGTGGCCAGAAAAAACGGAAACTTTTTTCAAGGGTCCTGGCGCGAAAATGTTTAGGTGTAGCCATATGATTCTTTTACCATTAAATTCTCTGCGTTCTTCTGCCCTAGTACTGTGATTTTCATGACCATATCGATTATTTAACATAATTTTTTTAATGTCAAACATTTGATCCTTTTGAGGGGTAAGTGGTGATAAAAGGTACTTTTTACTCCAAGAAGCATGTGATCTAGTGGTATTGTACTTGTTTGCGAAAGACTTTGGGGAATTTTATATTGTTCATAAGATAGTCCAGTTTCGTTTTCAAATTTTTCCATTTAAAAAAACATTTTTTTTCAGATTGCGTAGTTTCTCTACGGACCACAGTTCATCTCAGAAAGAAGAATTTGAGTGTCTGGAGCCCTGGATACCAAGATCAAAACCATCATCGTTTAGGATGAAGAATGACAGAAAATTAAAAGGTGAGTGGGTTGTGGGTTTTTAATATGGTTTTAAATTCCGCTGCTGTATTCAGAGATTGCTACGGCTCCGGAGCCGGCTTTTGGCTACGGCTCTGAGCGGCTCCGGCGCCCGAGCCCGTAGTCGGAGCCAGGCTTCTCAGCATTCAGAAAAGTAGGAATTGCGTGCTCTTGTTAAACGAAATTGCTTGAAAAATACTGGGGAGAATGTGTTGCGCACGACTTGGCTGCAAAAACGTTGGCTGTATGATCTGTGGCACTAATAGCTTTTATTTTTGGAAATTTTTTTTTTAAATTTTTGCATAGGAGCCGGGATTCGAAGCCGGAGACCTTTTTAAATTTTGCACGGAGTCGGAGCTGCAAATTTGGCCTTGGCTCCGGCTTTGGGAGCCAAGAGCCGGAGCCGAAATTTCGACCGTGGCAATCTCTGGTTGCATTATAGGGGTATTCTGATCAAGGGTCAGGCAATTTAGTACTGTTTATAATTAAGGGGTCTTGACAATTTTTGACCCTTTTGGTATGATCCATTACGTCAGGTGTCTGTTGAGTTGACGTTTCGGTCTTTAATATAAAATAAGGGGGTAAAGTAAGTTTAAATGCGATAGAAGGATATGAATACTAATTTTGGTCACTATAATGACATTTTTTTCGGGATTTCTTTATTGTTCATGAGATTGTTAACCTTATTTTTTGAGTTTTTCGCCTTCTAATCTATCTTTTCTTTCAGATTCCCTCAAGTCCCACAAGATTCAATCAGTCCAGGCCACTTCCCAGCCAATAAGAAGGATCTACAAATCTAATTTGATCTATTTGTTGTTGTGTTTTTTATTGTTTTGTTTGCTTTGAAAGGGGAAGGGGAAATGGGAGAAAGGGTTCGTGTGAAGGTAGGTGACAAGAGTTGGCCCGAATGATTCAATAGGCAAATTGATGTCGATTTTTTAATCGGGTAGGTGTCAAGGGTTTTTTCGAGCGGTTCTATAGTCAATTTTATGCTGAATTTTTTTATTCGGGCCCCGTACAGAGCATGCATTGTATGTTTATATTGATGGTTTAGTCTGAAAGTGAGGATACCCTGAATATCTATAGGTTTTGGCTGGGAAAGACGTTGAATTATGCATGGGTTTTCACGGGTTTATCTACGGGATTAGGTATCCCCTGGGGACATTGGGAAGTTTCGGCC